CGTTGAAATTCCCACTCATTTTATTGATTTTCGATTTTGAAGAAAAATGAAATTTTATCAGCTACTATCCAACCACCACCAACTTTGGCGTAAAAAATAGCGGTAAAACTCATTTTCATCTCACCATGTCTGGGATGGGTGATTAAAGCGATGGAGCCAGGAGGTGTTTCTCCTGCGTTACATGAGCAATAAAAGAGAGCAGAATTGCAGGTAAGTTGGGCCTTTGAAGTCGCGCTCCAATCTTGCTCCTTGTTGAGCCAACTAGACCCACGAAGCGGATGAAGCGGGCATGCCAGCTAGTTTCTAATAACCGATCCCAGAAGTCCAATTAAAGTGTGAATAGAGCCATCCTTACACAATACAAAACAATTTTCTTGTCGTTATCTGTTTGAACCTGATCCAAGATTGCTACAGATCTTAATAGCACAGAATACGGACTAACACTTCGGCGAACTCGTCTTCAGAGTCTGAAAAGTTTAAGACACATAGGTAGGTTATCCGAACAAAAGCAACTCGACTATAGAAAAGAGCTCAACCCCCTAGGAAGAACAACAAAGCCTCAACTAAAGCGCAAGATTAAGCTAGTGTTAGCTAGCTTTTCTTTTTGAATTTCGAAGAAAGCGAGCTCGCCAAAACGTTAGCATGTATTCTGTGCTATAAAGATCTGTACCAATCTTGGACCATGCTCAAACAAGAAGATGATATGGCAAGATTTATGGATAGTCGAACATGGATGCTTATAATTTTTCAATGCTTTTCTTTCAGAACTTCAATCATTTTGCTGGTGCTTCCATATTTGGCAGAATCAAACCCATGGGGACAACAACCGGCAAACAACTTAAGTCTCATTAATGCAGCTCTTTCCCCTCTTTTCGAGATGTCTTTCCAGCTTTCTATTCGCAAAATCTTCGCGGTCAAAATCATCATGATTTATGGTGCCTCTCCGAAAATTGCTTTCTTATAAACCATCAACGTGGCTGTCCTTTGGTCATTTCAACATGTCATCTTCGAATAAGCGCTTCAAATATGCTGGATTAACATATTGAAACGATCGAAAAGCAGCACGTTGATGGTTCATATGAGGTCTGAGGGATGCACGATATGTTTCTGAACGCGCCTCAGGCTGCATTCGGAAATTTAAGATATTATTTTTGAGCCCATAAACGCTCGTTTGCTTCAAAAAATAATGCTGAATCATAACCATTTTTGCAAGTTTTAAAATTCGAGGATTTGTTGGTGCTTGATGCTTTTATGGTTGAAACAGGCCTGCTAAAATTCATTGGTTTTGATATGAAATCTCTCAAAAAATTAAAAGCTATGAATAAGAGAAACAACTTTATTTCTTATAAGGATCCTTTTTACCCGATACTAAGAACCTCAGAGAAATCGATATTGATATTGCGAAAAATAGCCTGGACCATGGCAAAATCATGGGTCATAATTTGATAATTTCCTGAGATCTTATTGATTGAAGTGAAACAGAAAAACTACCGTTCAAAAAAAAAAATTGAAAAATTGCATCGAGTATGCCCAAAAGCTTTCGAGGAGCCTCATTGCGCGGGTACTCCGTTGAAAGAAGCGAAATTAATTTAAAACGATCTATGCACAAGCTAAAATTAATTTAGCGTTTACTCTGTCTGTCTTCGGACGCACACTCTCTCTTCATGTTCACGCATTTCCTAACATCGGCATCTTTAACTTCAACCCTATCTTCGATATTCTAGAAAGAGGAAGTCAAAACTGAAGGTTGTTTAAATATCAGCCCCTCATAAAAAGTAAAAGTTGTTTACTATCAGAGAAGGAAAAAAGATGTTTAAACAGAGGGCAAAATTGCTGCAATGAGTTTGAAATCTTACATTTGCCGGAACTCCGGAGTGCAGGTTTTCACCCCAGGACCAGAAGTCCACAACACGGGGAAACCGAGAGAAGTAATTTTATTATTTCGAATACAACCATGTTCCGAAAGGGTGATTATTAAGGATATGATAAACGAGAAAAGCATTAGTTATGAAAACGCAAATTTTTTATTTCACTAAGTCGATGTGCACGTCAAAGCCAATCCAATTTTCAATGTGTCCTTTGAATTTTCACCCTCGCATTGACGTTTTTCCTGGGACGTTGTCTGGATTGTTGTGCTCATTATTTTGAGCGATAATAGCCCGAGTTGAAAGAAAAATCGCTGCGAAAATAGTGAAATGAAAGAAGGTGAAGAAAAACGCACCAAAGCTTTTTATCAAATATTTTACCACAATCGAGGGACTGAGTTCTGGGACGTTGTCTACATTACAGACAGAAGCATTGTCTATCAAATGCACGAAAAAACCGAGGAAAAAGCGTTGAACTAGAGAAGAAACAACAAATTTTCAAAAACACTGTCTTTGCCAGATTTTTCGTTTGAATCAAAAAAGCGAGGTAGCGCGCAACGCGTGGAGACGCAGACGAGCAGCCGAGACACTCCAGAGCCGACGGGGCATTTGGCTCTGGTCGTAGATCTCGACAGGGTCTCAACAAGACCCTGCAACATTGTATCGTTGTAATCCACTTGACACGATCAGAGCACTGACAACGTCGCCGATGTTGAGAATCACCCCATAATGAGATAGACCAGCATTAAGTGCCGACTCTCTGCGCAAGATTCAAGCGCAGTTTCTCGTTTTTATTGAACTCCTACAGCTTTCGTGAACTTCTAACACTCAATCGTGGTCTATAAAAAGGTTAATTGAGAATTATCGCCCTAAATTTTAGAGAAACTTTCGAATGAAAACCTTCTTTTCAACAGAAAAGGCCACAAATATACTTGCCTCATTCACAGTCACTACTATATAGTTATGTCATACTATCCGGAGCTTCGCATGACACGGATGACTTCTGTCCTTTTCTCAAGGTTGTGTTCTATCATTACGCTCAAAGTGAAGGTTACTAAAGGCATGACTCTATGCATTGAGGGTATGACTTCAACGTACGGCTAATGCCGAATGTTTTGCTTCGAAACAAAGGATAGGCAAGTAAAGCAAGCGTGGTGTGTAGCAGTTCTTGTAATTGTGGATGTTTTCAACCCTTTGTTAAGTGATCTTTTGAAATTTTATGAATGGCTTTTCTATGCCTCGAAAATTTGATTACCCATAAAAGCCCCAATGTAAAAAGCTGTGATGGGATCACTACGCTTTAAAACATTTTCATACTGATTTCCAGATTTTTCTGGAATTTTTATCTCAAACCCAATTTTGCAGTGGATTTTGCAGTATATACTAAAAATTTCCACCGTAATCTTACAGTAGGATCAAATGATCGGTGACCCGCTCTATACTGTAGTCTAAGTTGAAGCCAGCTCTAGGAAATGGTACCCAAACCTCTTTAGAAGACTAAATGCCAGGAGAGTAACAATTAAACAGTAGGCACATTATCTTTAGGACACCCTGTAGGACAGAACAAACAAAAACAACAATTGAACAGATAATGAAAATGTGATGTTCGTATTTCTCTGAATGGGCATGCTGTGCTCCGCACCATCGCGCGCTTAAAGCAGGATTGCCGCCACCATATTGAATTTTTGGAGGTTGTAACTATGGGGAAAGGAGAGAGGTTTGGGGAGGATCAAAGGCACATTTATAGGGTTGTGGATGTAGACTTTAGTTATGTAAATGTATGAAAAAATTACGCAAAGGAAAGGTAATTTATGGCTTTGTATGCCCTGAGCCACCTCAGGTAGCTCTCCAGACGTCTCAAAAGCCACCTAACCCCGAGAAAAGTTTGCCACCCTTCACTTCACATAACTTTTTCCGTAATTTTTTGTACGTAGTTACAGCTCTCCGATGCGCAAAATCAAAAAGGTGACGGGAGTGTTGTGGGAGAGGAATGGGGAAGGGATGGATGAAAATTGGGAGTATACACGTATATGACAACAGCGATAAGATGTTTTATTTGTTAGAAAGAGGCTAGAAAATTCACTAGGCCTGAGCTTGGTCAAAGCCTTGATTTTTTTGGTATATGAAAATCCAATTTTGAATTGCCTTGCGTGTTTCGCCTTTGCACCAATTGACGATTTTTATTATACATCACACTAAGCTAACACATGCAGTTTTCCGGGACTCAGCCCCGAACCCCGCTAACCGATTCCCTTTGATTTTTATCCCAGAGCGACACCCAGCCTGCTTCATCAGCCCCTGTGCAAAGCCCTATGTCGAGAAACTCGACCGATAATTTCTATATTTTCTCTGTATTTTCTGTTTGATGATTCATTTTTGATTGCCTTTGAAAGCTGAGTGCGCGGCAAGCTCTTTCTTTGTACGCTGCAGCTGCGCCGAGAATCAAGTAAAAAGTAAGGGGGGCCGCAGCTGGCGACCTCCTCCTTTCGTTCTTGACTCAAGCGTCATTTGATTGTCATTGCTTCATCTTATTTGGTTGTCTTATATTTACTTACATTCTTAGTGCGTTTACTTGCTTATGGTTCAGGTAGACAAAAACATATCAAGTATTTTATCCCTAACGTTTGCCATAATCAGAATCTCATGTTAAGCTGGTATTTTATTTTGTGTGCATTATCGTTTATTTGAATTTTATAGTTGTTAATAAAGGTTTAATTACCCAAGTTTGAGGTATCTCCTTGAGCACAACTCCGTCACACTAAAGACCCGCGTGGCAATTGATATTTTGGTGTCTTGGTCTAGTGGTATTCGACGGTTATAGTACTGACTATATATAGAACCCGTCCATTTGTTACATGGTGCATCGACTACACGGATTCAGGTCGGTGAAGTACAACAATTGATTGTGGACATCTTGGAACATACACTAGAGCTTTTGCTGTATCCGCTCTAGTTTGCTCTCATTTTCCGGAACAAAACAAGAGTTTTTGCCTGATCCGCTCTTGTCACATCAATATCGACAATTTGAAGAATTTTTTCGCACAAGACTGATCGCACTCCTCGAGTATCATATCTACTGAAGTCAGAAAACTTTCTGTGTCTGTCCTGAAGCATTGTTGGTCACTGCAACTAATTATGGCTGCACATTTGATTACGGACAAACGCCTTTTAACTCACTATTGCAATAAGCTGGACACTATCATCTCAAGATTCAAGGGCGAGGAACTTGAGACCCTTAACGTAGCCGCAGCGCAAGGAGAATCAGCTTCTCACTACACAAGGGAAAGTCTCCAGCGACTAAGCGAAGCAATAGGAGCTTTAGATACAGTGACGCACAACATCAAACAAACAATGACGGAGTACGCTACGAAATTCACGGAGCTGGACTACCCGACTGAAAAAGACAAACAAGACTTTGAGGAATATTCAGCAAAAGCGGAAAAAGCACTCATTTCGGCCACGGATTACTTACTGGTTCTGAAGGCAAGGGTTCACGCTTTCATTGTGGTAAAAGCACAGCCAGAACACAACCAACACAGTGGATCAGTCCAGGTACAAACGACATCACAGCCTTCGCATGAAAGATTGGACCTTCCCACACTTCCTGTACCCATATTTCAAGGAAACATATGGGAGTGGGACAATTTCTGGGAACTGTTCAACGAGAATGTCCATTCAAGAGATATACCGGAGTTGTGCAAATTCAACTATTTACTGCAAGCTCTTCGAGGAGATGCTCTGGCACTAATTAAGAAATTCCAAGTCGCCAAAGGAAATTATTCAAAAGCCATCGAGTTTCTTCAACACAAGTACGGTGACCGCGACGAACTCGTCACACATCTCATTGAAAAACTCGGGAAGTGCCACCTGCATTCGGCATCCATTCGCGACCAGCGAACACTCTTCGAGCAGCTGCAAGTCATCATCATGCAGCTGCGGCAGAAAGAAGTACAAGTGGACAACCAGTGGATGTACCAGCAAGTTCTGACGAAATTCCCGGATACGGGACAGCGCAAAGTACTAGTACGGAAACAAGTCGCAAAAAACTCTGGAGTCAGCTTCAACCTCGACATGCTTATACAGTATCTTGAGGAAGAAATCTCCACAGACGAAATGCTTGCGGTCTACATGAAGAACACCAAACCGGACCCAACACCTACTAAGCCGGAGAAAAGACGATCTGACCGAACAAAAACGTACTTAGGGACTTGCATGTATTGTGAGGGAAGCCACAAGTCAGCCGATTGCAAAAGATACAGTACTCCACAAGAACGCTCCAACTACCTACGCGAGAACAAGCTCTGTCTCATATGCGCCTCAGCACAGCATTCAACTGCTAACTGCAAGAAGAGAATGTGCTTCAGGTGTGGAGGACCACACCACACATCATGCTGTTTCAGAGGTGACACTACGGCAGACCAAGGAGCGTCAAGGAAGACAAGTCCACCGTTGAGCGAAGGGAAAAAACCCAAAGCCCGAGATACGGAACGAAACCCAACGCATAAAGAAACAAGAAAGGTAAACGCCCTCCATGAAGACAACTCCGAAACTGAAGCTGTGTCTGCACTGGATCTGCAACCAGTACACAAAACTAGAAGGTTGAGCAGAACTTTCCTTCCTGCAGGAATACTTACAGTGATGAATCCCTCGACGAAAACGTTGAAAAAGGTTGGAGTGCTTCTGGACAGCGGAGCAGAGGTGTCTTTCATTGAAAGCTCTTTGGCGAAAGAACTGGAACTTCCCACAATCGAGACTACAAGGCTCCCGATTCACACCTTTGGCACAGAAGAAGTGAAGGAAAATTTATGCAGGCGCGTGCTCCTCCAAGGATGGGACTCAGAAGGACACACTCTTGATCTGAAGCTCTTCACCCATGATGTACTGACCGCGCCACTAGACCGTGCTCCCTACAGAAAAGAAGACCTAGATTACATGAAAGAGCAGAACATTCTGATGACAGATTGGCAGAACAACACTACAATACAACCACGAATTTTATTAGGTTGCGATCAGTTGTGGCCATTGATCAAGGAGAATCAGCCAAGTGTCTGCCTGCCATCAGGACTTTACCTACTTTCTACTCGTCTAGGGAACTTGATCACAGGCATTGTCACAAAGCCCCAAGAAAAGTTACTTCAGAAAGACGAGACGGCAAAGTGGGAAGCTGCGTGCACAATGGATGGCAAAATCAGTATACTAACGGTGCAGACGCCTATAATACAAGCAGGCGAGGACAAAGACTCCTTTGAGAAGTATCTCGTCATGGAGTTCGCAGGAACGGAGGAATTCATGAGCTCTGAAAAAGTAGCGCAGGAAAAAATCGATCAGCAGGTTTGGAACCAATTCAAGGAAACCATCGAAAAAAGAGAAGATGGTTACTACGTGCGCTTACCATGGAAGTCAATACCATTTGAGCTCCCGGACAACAAGGTCATCGCACTGCGAAGACTAGAAAGCGTTTGGAACACTTTGCGGAAGGACGAAAAACTGCTGGAACAGTACAACGAAGTCTTCGAAGAACAACTCAAAGCAAACATACTGGAAGAAATACTAGAAGACTCCGTCGCTTTGGGAGAACACATTCATTATGTCCCCCACCAGGCAGTGATTACCCCGCAGAAAACGACTACAAAATTGCGGATCGTATTTGATGCTTCAGCGCACTACAAAGCCTCACCATCGCTGAATGATGTGTTGCACAGAGGGCCAGTCATACTTCCACAACTGTATGGCATCCTGTTACGTTTCCGAATAGGAAAAATCGCAATGATTTCGGACGTGGAAAAAGCATTTCTGCAAGTACGACTTCATGAAGCTGATAGAGATGCGACCAGATGCCTATGGCTACGGAACCACAGATCTCCACCTAACCCCGAAAATATCAAGACTCTCCGCTTCACACGTGTCACCTTCGGCCTCGTCACGTCACCCTTTTTACTAGCAGCGACGACACATTTTCACCTCGACCAATATCCCGAAGATCTGCTTCTCACAACGGAGATCAAAGAAAACATGTACGTCGATAATCTGATGATGACGGCTGACACCGAAGAAGAGGCGAATCATATTTACCAACGAACCAAAAGAATATTCAACGATCTGAAGATGAATCTCCGTGAGTACGTGACCAACAATGTTAACGTCGCATCAAAATTCGACACGAAAGACGCATCTTCGGAAATCAAGCCCAAAGTCCTGGGTATCAGGTGGAACTCCCGCGAAGACACCATAGAATTTTCATGTGCAATGGAAGATCATTCGGAGGTATCTAAAAGAAAGGTAGCCAGCATGATTGCTTCAGTTTACGACCCAATGGGATGGATGCTTCCTTTGATGCACAAAGCAAAGCTTTTCTTGCGAGAGCTATGGCAGATGAATTGTGACTGGGATACGCCCTTGCCGCCTGACCTCCACAAGAAATGGAAGAAGATTTGCAAAACCATGCATGGTTTTACAAGAACTCTGCCACGCTTCGTCTGTACAAGAATGATGGATGCTATTCTCATAACGTTCGCCGACGCAAGCGAGGAAGCCATCGCAGCATGCAGTTACTTGCGACTAGGATCCAATTCCACGCACCTTTTGATGGCAAAAGGGAAACTTCCTTCACTCAAAGGAAAATCGACTATACCGAAACGAGAATTGGATGCAGTGACATTGGCGTTACGAATAACGAACTCAATCTTAGCACAATTGCGGTCCGTGCTACAAGTCAATCAAGTCTTCGTATTCTCTGACTCAGAGATCGTGCTAAGCTGGATAAAAAAGAACCCGTTGAAGGACGTTGGACCAGTGGTATTCCGAAGGCTGCTTGAGATAAACAAGATTTTGAAACATCTCAATGACCAGGGATACACAATTCATTTCAACTACGTCACGTCCGAAGATAATCCAGCAGACGCAGGCACAAGAGGACTGAATCTCGAAGAACTGCAAAACCACGTGTGGTGGACAGGTCCGGAATTTCTCCAAAATCCACCGCAGCAATGGTCACAAAGCGATTGGCACGTCGTAATGAAAAGCACCGTTAACGAAGGAGAGGAAATTCTAGTGAAGGAAAAACAAGTTCTTGCCTCCAGGACGGTCGAATATTGCCAAAGCAAAGAAGACTCGGCTGTGCTATCCTTATTGCAGCGACGCACATGGCAGCAAACAAGGCGCATTGTAGCCTGGATCCTCCGTTTCGTCAGGAATGTCGCAGGCCAGGCAAGTGCCAACAACCAGTCACCCATATCACTATCTATGCTACTTTCCGCACCGAATAACGCTGTGGGAACAAGGCTAAACGGAAAGGAGATACTTATCGCAGGAAAGCTGCTCATCAGACTTCATCAACAGCAAATAACCTCAAAAGTCATTAACTCCATGCAGCAACTGAACATCAAAAAAGATGCCGAAGGCCTCCTTCGATGTTATGGACGACTGGGAAACAGCGACCTAGATGATGAAGCCAAAATTCCGTTGATCATCCTACAAAACTCGATGTTGGCGGAAAGAATCATCGACGACTGCCACGGCAGAGGGCATCTATCCGTAAGCCATACTATGGCGAACATACGTCGACAGTATTGGATACCGAAACTGCGAGCACAGGTCACGCGGTTTGTGAGGCGATGTATACCCTGCCAAAAGTTCAACAATCTGCCTTACAAGTATCCAGAGCAAACGGATCTTCCTGCAAGACGAGTGCAGAAATCTAGACCATTTGAGCATGTCGGATTGGACTACTACGGACCCTTGCCAATTGCACTACCTGATGGAACAGAGGGTAAATGCTACGGAAGCATAATCACATGTATGACAACAAGATTAATCCACTTGGACATAGTCTCCGATATGTCAACAACAGCCTTCCTCTGGATGTTGCGGCGCTTCTTTGCAAGAAGGGGAATTCCACGATCAATCACAAGTGATAACGCTCCCACGTTCATGCTAGGAGAAACTATACTCAGAGAAGCGATTCAAGCAGCTGAAAGCGATCCCGCTGTTGAGCGTGAAATACTCGACAGAGAAATTGAGTGGCATTACAACACTCCATACGCACCCTGGCAAGGAGGCTTTTACGAACGTCTGATAAAGTCCGTAAAGCAAACGCTCTACAAAACTCTGGGCAAAGGCGTGCTAAGCTTTGAAGAGCTAACCACGGTTACCATCGAAATCGAAGCGATCCTGAACACAAGACCCCTGTTATACGTGGAATCGGATTTCGCAAATGAAAGGATATTGAGGCCAATTGACTTCTTACAAAATGAGATGAGGATATCCTATCCACTGGATGCGGTAAATGATAAAGGAGAGGATCCATCTTACTTGCCACCAGCAGAAAAAGCCTTGCTTCGTACAAAGGCTCAAGCAGTTCAAGCTTTGCAATCTTCCTGCAAACTGACCGAGAAATTTTGGCAGCTGTGGCGAAATCAATACTTGACGGCTCTCCGAGAGAAACATCAACGCCAAGTAGGAAGTCAAAGAAGTTCGAACTATACTCCGAAGGTAGGCGAAGTTGTCTTGCTGTGTGATCCAGTCCAGCCAAGACATTCCTGGAAAGTCGGACGAATAGAAGAACTTGTCAAAAACACCGAAGGAGTTATAAGGGAAGCTCTGGTGAAACTCCCATCTCAAAGAAAGATCCGCCGGCCTCTCAACCTTCTTGTACCACTAGAATTAGAAGAGGGGGAACAACAAGCGCAAGAACCCGCTACCGCGAGCACCGACAGTAACAATCAACTGGAGGAAGCACAGACCTCGCGATATGATCTGCGACCTAACCGGAGAGTGGATTACAAAGGAATAAACGCGATGTCCATACAAGTGAAACACTTCCAGGCGAACATGCTCCTATTGATCTGTCTTCTGAGCGCACTTTGCGGAAACGCGAATGCTCTGGCAAAGGTACAAGCGAAGAAAACACATTCAATCAAATGCATTCCAGGAGGAGTTGAGTTGCTTTCCATGGAGACTGTCCCATATGAGGTCTGTGCGGAAGGTTATTGCAAATCAATTTCGGTGCCGAAGACAAACGAGACAATCCATTTTCCGCCACAGATAACCCTCTATGAACAGTTCGTACAATGGAAACTTCTGTACAATGAAACAATCAGGATAATAGAAACTACCTGCCCGCCAACTCCGTTCTGCGACCAGATCGATTGCATACTCTGTTCAGCGGTCATTTTCAATCCTGAATGCTGGCCTGTTGGAGCGATCGTAGCGACTACAATAGCCATCTACTTCTTCATAACTGGATGCTACGTATTCTGCTATGTGCCGCTCACGCTCGGGAAGCCATGTCGGATCGCATTACGCCTTTTGTGGAACGGCATCAGGAGCATTGTTCGCAGTGGGTGCCGACCTTTACAACGAGCACGAAGACGACAGCAAATCCGAGCATCGGAACTTATAGAATTACTTGCTATTGTCGCCATAATGAGCATGACAGTCGGTACAGCAGAAGGATGTCAATTAGTGAATCTCTTCTCGCACAAGTCTGCCGTGTGCACAAAGGCAAATGGAACCGAGATTTGCAAGATTCACGTATCGGAAGTCCTCAAAATCAACCCTTTCAAAAGAGAGGCATGTTTCAGGATAATAAGGAACAATTCAACCATCCATGAGGTTAGGGCATCGTGGAAACTGCTCAGTCTTGCCTGTGAACAAGAGCACGAAATGTACACTCGCGACACTGTCTACAATGTGGTGGACAGCAAAAGATGCCCGCACACAGGCTCCTGCGTAGGGAGCAAATGCGCGTCGATAAACGCCACAAGCCTCATACCGGAGCTAGAGAAAGGGAATCACTATCCAGGAATCACGGCCTGCGTCGAATCCTGTGGAGGACCAGGGTGCGATTGTTTCTATTGGAGTTCAGGCTGCCTTTTCTATCGCATCTACCTCACCCCAGTATCCCCACAAGTATTCGAAATTTTCCACTGCAATCGCTGGACGTTGGCAGCCAAAGTCAAGTTCACAGACTTTGATGCAATACAAGGAGTGACACGCATATTTACTGCAATCATGGTTCCCAATGTACCCATCATCTGGAATGCGTTCACACTCACGTTAACCTCGGTAACCATCCCACCAATCCCGCTGCTAAACACAGCTTTTATCACCGATGGAAACAACACGGCACTCTGGAATTCCGTGATGAAACCGCCTCTTTGGTGCACCAACAAAACTGCAGCAGAACAACTGGACTGCACGGTTATAGACAACTGCCAATGTGCACCAGCGGAAGTCCAAGCTAACTGCAAATGCCAAGACGTAAGCATCTCTGAGATGTTTGGGGACGTCAGAAATCGTCTGCCAGCTATATTTCCAGCGGTTTCATTCAAGCAAAACGACGAAGGACAAGTAAAAGCTGAGGTACAGAGCCTAACGACAGCTGAGATCATCGTAACCATCCAAGAAAATGTACGAACAAATGTGGTGGTGGATAGCACAGTCTGCACAATCGCGGATGCAATTCTAACAGGTTGCTACAAATGCGCCAGGGGCGCAAAAGCTACAATCAAGTGTACGGCACCAAAGCAAACTCAAGCCGAAATCATCTGCGAGTCTGCCAGTTTCACTGTGGACTGCGACCAACAAGGAGCGCTTTCGGAGCTTCAGTTCAGCCTAGATCGAGCGAGAGTGCAAATGACATGCTCAGTGTCTTGTGGAACAATTGTAACAACTTTTGAAGTAGGAGGCATTCTCAGATTCACACAAACAGCTCATGGAATGATGACACAATGGCTGTCTGGAAACGGAGACCAAGCAGCAGAAACTCAGTGGCCAGATTTTTGGCACATCGCGGAAGTCTTCCTGCAGTGGTACAAAACGCTGATAGTAGCAGTAATCGCGCTACTAATCGTTTTGGGAATCACCTACGCTTGTTTTTCACTGCAAGGAGTGTGTTGTGGATTCCGCTTTCTTAAAGGAATTATGCTGCTCATACTACTGTTTTTTCGTCTCCTATGCCGACCTTTCTGCCTATTGCAGTCAGAAATCAAAGAAAAGCTTCATGAGAAACTCCTCTAAGATTTTGCGATATTATTCTCTGAAAAAGGCAACTTATCATCATCCTTCACCCGTTGATATCGTTCTACCACCTCCACCACCGCCAGCTGAAACTGAGTCAGTCGATTTTAACGTCACCGAAACCATCGTTCTACCGAAGAGTTCTGACAAACTGGATTTCTCAAGGAGATGGCTTCAAGACGATCTTATGTCGTTGGCTCATCAGCCACCGGTACCCATTATGATGATGCCAAAGCAGTGCTCAAATTACAACGACGTCTATGAGCATTCATTGGGCAGCTGCTCGGCCGAAATTGCTGCTCTTAAGCTAGCCGAAAAAGAAGACGCTAGAAGCAGAATATGAGAACGAAGGCGAAGGAGACGATTGATGGAGAATAACGATCATCAAGCAGGCCCGGAGTGTCGAGAAACTCGACCGATAATTTCTATATTTTCTCTGTATTTTCTGTTTGATGATTCATTTTTGATTGCCTTTGAAAGCTGAGTGCGCGGCAAGCTCTTTCTTTGTACGCTGCAGCTGCGCCGAGAATCAAGTAAAAAGTAAGGGGGGCCGCAGCTGGCGACCTCCTCCTTTCGTTCTTGACTCAAGCGTCATTTGATTGTCATTGCTTCATCTTATTTGGTTGTCTTATATTTACTTACATTCTTAGTGCGTTTACTTGCTTATGGTTCAGGTAGACAAAAACATATCAAGTATTTTATCCCTAACGTTTGCCATAATCAGAATCTCATGTTAAGCTGGTCTTTTATTTTGTGTGCATTATCGTTTATTTGAATTTTATAGTTGTTAATAAAGGTTTAATTACCCAAGTTTGAGGTATCTCCTCGAGCACAACTCCGTCACACTAAAGACCCGCGTGGCAATTGATATTTTGGTGTCTTGGTCTAGTGGTATTCGACGGTTATAGTACTGACTATATATAGAACCCGTCCATTTGTTACACCCTAGGCACATATCACTAGATACATCCTATGCTGATATACTGTGTAGTTTCATGTGCTTTTGCTATCTGCTCCGCGATTGTCTGATAAAGAAAGGACCTTAGTCGAAGTGGGGTTTCCGCACGCGATGCATATCATTCTGGTGGTCTTGGAGCACTAATACCAGGGGAGGTATGCATCAATCTCCCGTTTTGAAAGCGGGCGATCATTTTTAATAAAAGAATGATTGGCCGCAGCTTCATACATTACGGGTCGGGCAGCCAACCCGGCCGGGCAATCATTTTTCTATTGAAAATGATTGCCC